GAAATTATGTCCATGCTCTGTCACTGTCGCTCAACCCAAAAACGCCCTTCCTCGCAGATCCCATCTACTTGGACACTATTCTCAAGTATCTGGCTGCTGGTGGATCCTCCAGCTGAGATGGTGGGATTGGAGCAGGGGCAACGGAATGACCTGCATCACTTTTGCCACCTGCAGACCACCATCTGCAACACTAAACGTGCCAGTCTGCTGTTGGTGAGACTTAGCCTTGGTGTAGTTCTAACCATCAACCAGGCAAGGAATCCAGACAATTGTGTCTGCCTGCAACAAGCCCCAGGACTCCCCTTCCTTCCTCAACCCTTGCACTTCATCTGCTCCCCCAGGCCTCAGCAGCCCAATTCTTCCCAAAACTCCAGGTTTTGAGAGATCCGTCCCTTCCTCCCCGAGTCTCTGTCATACCCAAGTCCCTCGATGTTCAAGGACATAGTCTCTCTCTCTCTCGGGCTCTCTCTCTCTCTCTCGCTCTCTCTCTCCACCCCTCTCCAATTTGGTCTCTCCCCCTCCATTAGTCTCTCCCTCCCCCCTCCAATATCTCCACCCCATGGGCTAGAGCTGAATGAGATGATGCCATCAGCATAATTTACAATCCCAGTTGGTATAGTGGAGTTGGGTGGAGCATTTCAGGGGCATGGGGAAGAATGAGGATCTTGAGGGAGAGCTGAAGATCTTGGGGGAGGTTAATGGGACAAGGATCACAGGTGTGGGAAGGAGTCTTGTGTGTATGTAATAGAGACTGAGGATTGGGGCTAAGTGGTTGCAGGGGGTGGAGGCGTTAAGACATATAAACACTTGAACTGTTTCTACTTCCGTAAGCAGCACTGTGTATCTATGGTGCACAGTATTTAATATTGACACGGTGTTAGTATATGTCAAATCAGCATTGTGCATCTGTAACCCTCAATGTGACACAGTGCAGATGGTATCTCAATCATCAAGCCAACCATCCAGTCTTTCAGTGAAGGTTACCTGGTTCTGATTTATTTGAATTTGATTTGATTTATTATTGTCACATGGACCAGGATAGAGTGAAAATTATTGCTTTGCGTGCTATCCAGGCAAATCATTCCCAACATGAGTACATCAGCGTAATAGAACAGAATGCAGAATATAGTGTTAGAGCTTCAGAGAAAGATCAATTTCAATTTATGAGAGGTCTGGTCAAAAGTCTGATAACAACAGGGAAAAAGTTGTTCTTGAATGTGTTGGTATGTGTTTTCAAACTTTTCCATCTTCTGCCCAATGGAAGAGGGTGGAAGAGAGTTTCACTGGGGTAGGAAGGGCCTTTCATTATGTTGGTTGCTTTCCTGACTCGGGGGGTAGTAGATGGGGTCAGTGGATGGAAGGCTGGTTTGCGTTTGCTGTGTTTGCAACACTCTGTAACTTTTTGCAGTCTTGGAGGGAGCAGTTGTCATGCCAAGCTGTGATGTATCCAGGTAGAATGCTTTCAATGGTGCATGCATGATAATTGGTAAGAGTCATTGTGGACATGCTGAATTTCCTTAGCCTTCTGGGAAAGTAGAGGCATATGTGTGCTTTCTTGACTGTAGAGTCAACTTAGATGGACCAGGATAGATTGTCAGTAATACTTACTCCTAGGAAGTTGAAGTTCTCGATCTTCTCCCCCTCAGCTCCATTGATACAGACAGGGATGTGTCCTCCACTTCCTGAAGTCATTGACCAACTCCTTTATTTTGCTGACATTGAGGGAGAAATTGCTGTCTTTACTGGTTAGTCATAACCAGTGACAGCAGCTCGATAATCAGGCCCACAGTTATCTCCAGAATGAATCATTGCTCCTCTAGTCACTGCAAGTGAGAATCAGTGCAAGTTTTGTGAAGGCACAGTTACTGGTGCCAACTGATTACTGGGAAAAGAGGAAAAATCAGATTTCCTCCCATACACGGTTTTCATTTTGTGGCATGGGGTCCAGAAGCTCATTTAAAGCTCACCAAGTTTGAGAGTTCCTGCAGAAAATTCAAAACCAGATAATGACTGAAGACTGAAGCATTCTGAAAGGCATGTGTAAATGTTCTTACACATTCAAGTTTCACTATCAGGTGCTTTAGTAGAATTTCAATGTACATTTGATGCAGTGATTCATCATATGAACCTGTATTGTAATGGTAAGTTTGCCCTTACAACGAACAGCGTTGAACATTTTTTTCACATTCAGGATCGAGTGTTTTCAAAACACCCAATTATTAGTGAAAAAAGTTACAATATTTCTTACCAGCCTGTGATGATACCTTTTATACTTTGATTCAAATGGCCCTAGTTGCTTTTCAAGAATAAACTTTGGCTTTGGTCCTTAAAAACAATCTAATTACCTGATACCTTAAATACTGGTATTAATTCTTGACCAGTAGCTATACACTTGAAAGAAATCTGACTATTTGCTCTCTTGCAATGATCTTCAGCACTTTGCTTTGAAAATGAACCTTGTGTTCTTTCCTTCAGCTGTGACCATTATCAGTGCTTGGCTGAGTTTCAAGTAGAAATGGATTTCATTACAATACCTGTTCTATTTTTTTCTGAAAATGAAGTTTTAAGAACAGATTGTCCTTTTGCTGTAATATATGGTTTGTTTAATACAAACTAATAGGATTACAAGTCTTACAAGCTTTTGTTTTTCACATGACATGATACATTTTGTTCTCAGTTCCAATGACCTGGGAGCTTTACTGACTTGGTAAGAGCTTTACTTTTCTCAAGGATTCTAAAATATTTTCTATGGAATGGCACAGAGTCTGAGGACTGTGCATAGTTCATATTGAGTGAATAGATACGTATCCCACATGGGGATTTCAGGTGGTATGGTGAAGCATGGGTGATTAGGGACCATGGAGCATTAATGGGAGCATAGAGGTAGCATGGGTCATCTGAGGGACACAGGGATACATGTGGTACAGAAATTGTAAAGAGTGGACATGGGTTATCTGAAGGGGCAGGGAGGTGGCATGAGTTGGGCAGGGTTCCTCTGACAGAGCATTATACTAACATGGAACCATTGAGCAGCATGGTATAATGATCCAAGGAAACATAAACTGCCTGGGGGTTGGGTAGAGCACATGACAGGTGACATCTGTCACTGTTGAGAGATGGGATATTGTGTTGAGGAACTGAGGTGAGCCTTCTAAGTGGCCCAATCAATTCTCATGCTCTTCCCATGCTGATTTGCAGCTTGATTACTAGGAACTCAAATCAGGTTTGTACAGACAAAAATGGCATGTGAAGTCACACATAATAGGTGTGAATCTTGTGAGCTGTGAAGATGCATCTGGTAGATTTTCCTGAGGGTGCAGGATTTTTCAACCCAGGTTAACAAATTTCTTCAGAGATAGTAGGAACTGCTGATGCTGGAGAATCTGAGATAACAAGGTGCAGAGCTGGATGAACACAGCAGGCCAAGCAGCATCAGAGGAGCAGGAAGGCTGACGTTTCGGGCCT